TTTGAAAACTGCCAACACTACAGAAAAAAATACAAAAGCAAATCCAGAAAATAATAGAAATTGGTAATTACTCAATGGGCAAAAGCAAAAGTTATTTCAAACAGTGATAAGAGTTAATAGACATCCAAGACTGAATTGTTGAGGTAGGTTTAGGACTAATGAGTGTAAAAATAGGATGGCAAAAATAAAGAAAATCTGATAGTGAATTGTGTGTTATCACTGATGAAGAGAAATCATTTGCATGTGTTACATAGTTATCAGGCTGAGTTTAATTAATAAATTTAACTGCTAAATTTAAATTGTGCCTTCTGATAATGTAGACAGAAACGATACCCCAAAGGATTGTGCACGGGGGGTCATGGTGAGTATTCATTTCTTCTTAGGATTTTCAGTAGGATTTTGGTTCTTATTAGAAATGAAAGTACAATTTATAGAATAATCTGGATAATCTATGTAGTTTATTCATAGTTCCAACTTAAAGTACAGTAAAAAAAATTACTTTGATAAATCTTAATTTCTGCTACTTGAAGTTTGTAGCAAAGCTAATCATTGCAGTAGGATACGAAAGTTGGGAAGCAGTATACTTTTTCTCTTTGATTTTAGACTTTTCTGTCTCTAACAAACTTGATATTACCGCATTTTCCTGTCTTTCATTTCCTATCTCTTTTGGGGCATGATTATTTTAGAATATCATGGGATTAACTGGATCATTGTCTGATAAGAAACCTACCTGGATGCGCTAGGCTGGTTCATTCCCACTAAGACAGTTAATGCTACAATACTCTAATACGAACCCAGGGTTGATTTCTCATTCAGATCCTAATCTTTTGGCTGGGACAATCTCAGCAGTAAAGCACCTAACACTTTTGAAATGAGGAAACTATTTTTGTGCGAAATAAGTTCCAGATAAAGTTCAATGATTAAGGGACAAGCGGTTTGGTAATACATAAAGCCAAGAGAGGCATTAATGCACACCTGGGAGGCGGCACCTATGGCATCCAGGTACATGGATACCTGTTTCTGGCTCCTGTTTTCCTGTTTTGATGTGGATGTTCAACAGTATTTCAACAGAGCTCCTAAGAAGTACCGTCACACAGGAATTTTGAAAAGAGATTTGGATAGATTAACATATGTCCTGACATGCCTAAAAACATTTTTTTGTTTAGTTGGTCATGATCTTAACCAGTTATATTATTCCTTTTTTGTCATTCTGCCACTCATTCACTTTTTGTTCTTTGACAAATAACAATCAAAAGTACCTGCTGCTTCAATTTCCTCTCGCCTTTTGTAGATTGCAGATTACTACCCAAAAACTAAGCTATTCCCCCTCCACCACCAATCTGCACCTTACACAAACCTGACAAAGACAACACCGCATATGTTCTACATCATCGTAAGGACCACCCTGTACTTTAGCCCTTTAGCAGGTCAACAAGTGAGGAAATTACTGTAAATATCATTTTTTCTTACATTTATTATGCCTAGCTTAATACAATTATATACACAGAATTTAATTTGTAAAACTGTTCAGACTACTATACATTTTCTCTCTGTCTTTTCTTAAAAGATATTTTATCATCTTCCTTTCTCCATCTGTCAGCTGTGAGTTTTTTTTCCATAATCCCCATACCTTACTCAGGTTTTTTTTAACCATTTAAATGTTCAGAGTTTAATCAGCAGGCAGAAAACACTTTCTCCTCTATTTACATATAGGGTCTTACAAGGAAGCAGAAAGGAAGTAAACTTGTGAAGAAAACATCGTTTTTATGATGTTGAGATGAAAATAAAATAATGTCCAACTTGAAATTTGGGTAGACAGGACAGAGAGCTCAAGGTGATCTCCAGAGCCAAATTGCTGGTGGAGTTTCCCAAATCAACATTTATGTTTATTTTAGCAGCACTGTTCTCGGCATCATTATCTTGGGAAAACACAGTTCAAAATGCCTTGCATTTTTAGGGATTTCTGGAAAGGAATGATACATGCAATCAACACTTAATATAATATAGTTTACTAAATGTAGTTCCCTTGTCTTATAAATATTTTATTCAGAAATACCACCTATTTGCATAGATTCAAGACCCTTATACCACCTGCAAAATTCTAGTTCCTTTAGCCTAGGAAGACAGAGTAGCAAGAATAAAGCCACAAATAAGCTGGCAAGGCAACCAGCCATATGTAAATTACTTCATTTAAATGCCCCAGTGCTTGCTGCATAAGAAAATCATCTGGGGTTCTGGGGGCATTCATTCTTTTTCTTATAAATCAAGGTTATTAGAAGAAAACCAACAAGTAATTTTCCTGGCATAAAAAATCAACATGTTTTTGGTGCCAAGGAGAATGACAGCCTCGTGTATTCAATTTTAGCTTTTTTTTTTCTTTTTTGTCCTTTGGCATGATCTGTTCCCTGATTTCACCCCAGTAGAGCTTGCTTTGAAGTTGTAGACAAATTCAGTCAACCACTTGGATCACATGTGTCCCAAAGAATGTGGTTTCCCAGGTAAGAGTAATCCCCTACTCCCCTTTCACTGTGACATTTTGACAGGCGCTGCAGATTTCTTAGGCACATATTTTATTCTGTCCCTCGGTAACCACAGCTCTTACAAAGAGTTTCAGAATTGTCTGTGCATGGAGTGCCTTTCACCTTACAAGGGATTGGCTCCTTTCTTGATGATTATGCAAATGTTCATAATTATGCCTCCGGGTAAACACACTGCTGTCTTCTTGGAAAACTAGGAAGCACAAAGAAGGTTTATATGCAGGTTCAGCCATTCCAAGTATCCAAATCAAGTGCTGGTTTAGACACACCTGGATTACCATCCCCCTCTCATTGGCTGAGAAAGTTGCCACACCTGATCTGTAAGTTTACCTGTTACAGTACATGGAGGGGGGGAGTCGCCTCAGCCAGTCAACACTGGATTTTATCTGGCTAGAAGCAGCGAAGCAGCTCTTATTTGCAAAACTACTGTGTTCTGAGTTCATCACTACCAGAAGAACTATTCTCTCCAGGGACACAGAGACCTGAGAAGCCCAACCAGCTCAGCAGTCCAGTCGGATATCCTGAAGGATTATGGCAACCAGCGCCTTGCAGATGGCTGGACTGGTGCTTGGTGGTGTTGGCATGGTGGGCACGGTGGCCGCCACCATCATGCCTCAGTGGAGAGTGTCGGCCTTCATTGGAAGCAACATTGTGGTTTTTGAAAACAGGTGGGAAGGACTGTGGATGAACTGCATGAGGCATGCTAACATCAGGATGCAGTGCAAGATCTATGACTCCCTGCTGGCTCTTTCTCCAGACCTCCAGGCGGCCAGGGGACTGATGTGTGCGGCTTCGGTGCTGTCCTTCTTGGCTTTCATGACAGCCATCCTTGGCATGAAGTGTACCCGGTGCACTGGGGACGATGAGAAGGCAAAGGGCTACATTCTGCTAACAGCTGGAATCATCTTCATCATCACAGGCATCGTGGTGCTCGTCCCTGTGAGCTGGGTCGCCAATTCCATCATCAGAGATTTCTACAACCCCATCGTGAATGCTGCCCAAAAACGTGAGCTTGGAGAAGCCCTTTACATAGGCTGGACCACAGCGCTGGTGCTGCTTGTCGGAGGGGCACTGTTTTGCTGTGTCTTTTGTTGCAGTGAAAAGAGCAGGAGCTATAGATATTCCATACCTTCCCATCGCACGACCCAAAAAAGTTTTCACATGAGCAAGAAATCACCGAGCGTATACTCCAGAAGTCAGTACGTGTAGTTGTGTATGTTTTTACCTGTACCTGTAAAGTCATGCAAATAACTAAGATGTCTACTGTTTTCAAGATTTGCTCTTCTTGACTGCCTAACATTAATTACAGGAGCCATGCTTCAGCTATTTATGATTCTATGAGCCATTTCACCAGAATGAGACACTAAACCCTCTGCTTTGATTGCTGTAGGAGGTACAGTAATTTGTTTTCTAAAATGACTCATGCATCTTCTCTATCAGTTATTTCAAACTGACATTGTTAAAGACTGCATTAGTTTACCACAGTCGTTTCTCTATGACGCGGCGTTATGCATCTACGTGAGTGAGACGCTTCTCTCACATAGAGACATGCTTCTATGCTTTTCTGTAAAATGAAGTACTGATCCATTACACTGAATAAAAGAGCTCAGCTATTGCTTTTCAGGGAAATCACGGATAGGATTGACAAAGGTTAATATTAATTGTTTCAAAACAGCTTTAGGGATTAGCACCCTCCATTTATAATGAAGGTTAAAATGAAGGCTTTGATCATTTAGTGTAAAGGAAACTAAACTGCTTTCTGATATCCCCTTTTTAGCCCAGGAGTTAGAAACACTAACTCCTTTATCCTCTTCCCTCAGAGGACTTCCTTTTCATGTATGTTAAATTAACATTTGTTCAGCAGGTGGTATTTTGTCAAGGGGCTTTGCATTCAAACTGCTTTACCAGGACTATACTAAGAAGAAAGAGAAAAGTATGGTCTGAGAAACATTAATGATTTCAGGAAAGTGAAATGTTTTCTCCCGGTAAATTTTTATAGCTGGAGAAGAAGGATGTATGTTGACAAGAAATCATATATGTATGGACATTTTTTCATAATATTCAAGTACAGATTTGGGGCTTTTCTCAATATAAATAATAGGCCAGGAAATATCACATGTCTAGTTTTTATTTGCTCATCAAAAACAAACAAAATTCTCCTTGGAGAACTTCATCTGCTCCTATGTAGATATCCCAGTCAAAACCTCATTTCAATTCTGTGGAAGATCAATTTCCTACTTGTTTCATTTTTGTTCAGCTTTAGTAAAGTTTAGGAATACTATCTCTCTCTGTTTCCTTCAAATTTGATAAAACTAGATGAAATGTGGAAGTTTGTATTTACCCTTGTTTAGCTTGAATTACTGAGTTATTTACTTTATGACTATTGTATTAATAAATTGTGCCTCTTTCTAATTATATCACATTCATCCATTCTTGTTTTATTACCTTGATAATACAGTTTTTATAAACCTAACATTTTTTCATTTTCCAAACTTAAAAAGAATGCCAAAGACACATTTCAAACATGAACTCAGCATTAATTTTCAGTATAAAAAAATAATCCAGGGCAGCACCTGTGGCTCAGGGAGTAGGGTGCTGGCCCCATATGCCAGAGGTGGTGAGTTCAAACCCAGCCCTGGCCCCCCCAAAAAATAATAATCCATATCCCTTAACAACAATATATCTTATATTCATCAGATTCATACACCTATAGTAGGTCTCAATAATATTTTTACAACATAAAATAGTTCTATAGATGCTAACAAATATATATTATAAACATTATGGTTGTAATATTTCAAAACTTGTCATAGCCAGATATGTATCTCTACCTCTGAGAAATAATGTTCATTAATAATAGTCGTCAATGTTTGGGGGGATGTATTACATACAGGCCCTCTACTGTTTTGTATGAATTATATTATTAAATCTTTTATGAGATTCATAATGAGGATATCTCAGAACAATTTTGGTTACCCTGTAGACTCAGGAGAAAAGATCAGGGTTGTTTTGGCACACAGCTCACGCTCTTTCTTTCAGGGAAAGAAATCTTTTTTCAACAGTGTCCACTTTGTAAACTGATTTTTCTGTGTAAAAATTGTTTGATTTTTTTCCAGGATGATTTTACCATACCTAAGTGATAATTTACCCTAAGCAGTTCTGTCCCTTTGGGTATAAACATTCCATAAGAAAATAAATAAATAAATAAAACAAACCTAATTGAGTGAATTGGGGAAGAAATTCGGAGGGCCAGACTTCTCAATTCCAGTCTCTAAGGAACCATTCTTTTATTTACAAAGGTTCCTTGAATGTCTCAGCCTCAATTCATTATTTCTTTTTTTCTTGTCCCTAAAATAGAATGATTAAACCACCCCTTTTCCTTATGGCAACTTCTCTAGTATCCCTGGAATCTTTCTCTACTTTTCCACCTTTATCATCGTCTCATCTCTTAGCTCCTTAGCTAGAAAAGCCTTCCACCTTGTGTATTGTCTGCAGAATCTTTTTCCTCCAGATGTTGCCTCCACATTTATGTTAGTTCTTTCTAAAATGCAAATCAGGTCCCCTCATGGGACACCCCATTCCCTATAAAGTTCCAAACTCCTTAGCATAACAATAACTGACAGGTAGGAAAAATTATAATCTGCAGGGCAAATTTGACAGAACCGTATCAGTGTATGAAAAAGATAAAACCAATCATAAAGTTGCTGTTCAAAAACTAGAATGCCAATGACCTCCTTCAATACTGCAAAAGAGAAATACTGAAAATTAGAAAACAATTCAATTGGTGGCAAATTACATGCAACGGTAGGTGTTTATAATATAATCTTACAGAAAAACAATGCCATGTGACAGAAAGATCAGTATCTCATTTGCTCCATTTAGTATTTTCCAATTCCCTGGTAGGGATAATAAGGGATGAAATGCAAAATATTTTGAGGTAAAGAATTTAGAGCATTAAACATATTGCACAAGAGAAAGGCGGTATGCATAGGGTG